TGTGTGGGGGGGGGCAGGGAGAAAAAGTGTATAGAGTTTCTGTGATTGAGGTTAACTTAAAATAGACTGTTACAACTATATTAATATATAATATAATGTCTATTATATTATATATAATATAATTATATATTATATTATATAATATATAATATAATATATATTATAATAAATAATATATAATTATATTATATTAAATAATATAATTAAATAATTATATTATTTAACATAATTATCTAATATAGTAAGTAATATCAATTAATATAATTAATTAATATAATTAATTATAAAATTAATTAATACAATCAATTTTATTAATAATAAAAATAAAATTAAATTTATTTAAATTTAAATAAAATAAAATTTATTTAAAAGAAATTTTAAATAAATTTATTTATTTAAAAGAAATAAATTTAATAAATATTTCTTTTTATTTATTAAAAGAAATAAAAGGCATTCAAATCAGAAAGGAAGAGTAAAATTTTCTCTGTTTGCAGATGACATAATCTTATATATAGAAAACCTAAAGACTCCAGTAAAACCTGTTAGAACTAATAAATGAACTCAATGAAGTTGCAGGATACAAAATCAACATGCAAAATCAGTTGTATTTCCATACACTGACAACAAACTATCTCAAAGATAAGAAAACAATCTCATTTACAATAGCATCAAAAACAATAACATACTTAGGAATAAATTTCACCAGGGAGATGAAGACCTGTCACTGAAAACTATGAGACATTAATGAAAAAAATTAAAGTAAATGGAAAGATAGCCTGTGTTTTTGGATTGGAAGAATTAATGTAGTTAAAATGACCATACTACCCAAAGCCATCTACAGATTCAGTGCAATCCCTATTAGAATTCCAATGGCATTTTTCACAGAAATAGGAAAAACAATCCTAAAATTCATATGGAATCACAAAAGACTCCATATAACCAAAGCAATCTTGAGAAAGAACAAAGCAGAAGCATCTCATTGCCTAATTTCAAATGACGTTACAAAGCTATAGTAATCAAAACAGTATGGTACTGGCATAAAAACAGACACATAGATCAACCGAACAGAATAGAGAGCCCAGAAATATGATCAATGATCCATAAGACCTATATGGATCAATATGACCCATGCACATATGATTAATTAGTCTACGACAAGGGTGCAAGTACACACAATGGGGAAAAGGTAGTCTCTCTTCAATAAATGCTTCTGTGAAAACTGGATATCCACATGCAAAAAAAAAAGAAAGTGGACCCATATCTCACACTACTCAGAAAAATCAACTGAAAATGGATAAAAATGTAAACATAAGACCTGATACCATAAAACTTCTGGAAGAAAACAGGGGAAAAGCTCCTTGACATTGGTCTTGGCAATGATTTTTTTTGGATCTGACACCAAAAGCACAAGTAACAAAAGCAAAAATTATAAGTGGGACTACATAAAACTAAAAAGCTTCTGCATAGCAAAACAAATTGAAAAGGCATGTTATGGAATGGGAGAAAATATTTGCAAGTCATGTATCTGATAAGAGGCTAGTATCTAAAATATGTTAGGAAATTACACAACTCAATAGCAAGAAAACAACAAATCATTCAATTAAAAAATGGGCAGAGGACATGAAGAGACATTTCTCCAAAGAAGACATACAACTTGCCAGCAGATACCTGGAAAGCTGCTCAAACTCACTAATTATCAGGGAAAGGCATTTCAAAACTACGATGAATTACCACCTCTCACTTGTGAGGTTGGCTATTTTAAAAAAGACAATAGATAACAAATGTTGGTAAGGATGTGGAGAAAAGGGAACCCTGTACACTGTTGGTGGGAATGTAAACTGGTAAAGCCAGTTTATGGAAAATAAACTGGAAAATAGTATGGAGCTTCCTCAAAAAATTAAAAATACAACTACTATATGATCCAGCAATTCTGCTTCCAGGCATATACCCAAAGGAAATGAAATCACTATCTCGAAGAGATAGCTGTACTTACATGTTCATTGCAGCATTATTCCCATAGCCAAAACATGGAAACAATTTAAGTGTCAACACTTGAGTGGATAAAGAAAATGTGGTAAATACATACAATAGAATATTATTCAGCCTTAAAAAGCAAATCCTGCTATTTGTGACAACATGGATGAACAATGAAGGTCATTATGCTAAGTAAAGTAAGCCAAAGACAAACAAACACTGTATGATCTCGATTATATTGGGTGTTCGGAAAAGTCATGACATATTTTGTCTTTGTTTTTCAAAGGTCATTTATTTATATAAAGAACAAAGATTAATCGATATATTGCCTGTTTTGTTCGATAACCTTTTGCCATCTTTCAGTGAGCTTCATAATTCCTCGTTCATAGAAGGACCTGTCTTTATTTGCGGAAAACTGAACAAGGTGCTGATTTACAGCCTCATGTGAATTGAACATTATACCACACAAGGAGTTTTGAAGAGAGTGAAATAAGTGGAAGTCTGATGGCGCAAGGTCAGGCGAGTATGGTGAATGTGGCAACACATCCCATCCAAACTCCAGTTATTTTTGACGGGTGATCAAACTTGTGTGTGGTCTCGCGTTGTCGTAATGAAAGACAACTCATTTACGATTAACAAGCTCTGGACGTTTCTGGATGATGGATTCATTCAAACTGTCCAATTGCCGACAGTACACGTTCGAATTGGTAGGTGCTCGAAAAACACCACCTTTAAAATCCCACTACACTGAGAGCATAACCTTCCTCTGATGAATGTCTGCTTTCGATGTTGTTTGAGGCGAATCGTCACGTTGGGACCAAGACTGTTAGCACACCACATTGTTGTAAACAGTCCACTTCTCATTACCAGTTATCAGTCGCTTCAAAAAAGAATCGTTTTCCTCACGTTTAATGAGCATATTGCAGATGTTTATACGTGCCGTCAAATGAACTTCTTTGAGTTCATGCGGAACCCAAATATCAAGCTTGCGTACGTATCCCAGCTTCTTCAGGTGGTCGTGAATGCTTGAATGATGGATGTTCAATGTTTCTGCAATCATTCATGTCGTGTAACATGGGTTTGACTCAATCAATGCCTTTATTTTGTTGTCATCAACCTCGGTGGGCCTCCCTGACAAAGGAACGTCATTGAGATCAAAACCACCAGCACGGAATTTCGTGAACCGTCATTGGCACTGAAGTTCTTGTAGAGCATTGTCACTGTCAACTTGATGCAACTTTTCACAAGCTTGACGCGCGTTCTTCCCTTTATGGAAGTGAAACAGTAAAATATGGCAAAAATGCACAGTTTGGTCTTCCATCTTCAACTTGTAGAATCTCCAAAACTCGACCAAATTGCTCAATTTTTTTTAAAAATGAAGCTGAAACTGTCAGCTGTCAAATGACATAGCAATAACATAGATGTGAATGACTCTAGTATTTCCAAAAATGAACTAGTGCCATCTGTTGCAAACATGTGTCATGACTTTTCCAAAGACTCAATATATGGAATAAAAAAAAAAAAGTTGAACTCCTAGAAACCAGAGTGGAATGGTGGTTGCCAGAGGCACAGATTAAAGAAGCATTTGACCATCTTGCTAGATGGAGGAAAGCATTTGACAAAGGGTATCTATTTTAAAAACAGTAGTAAAGTATATACATAAAATATATACATACATATATATATATATATATGTATGTATATATTTAAAGATTTTATTGGGGAATTGGGGAAGGGGAACAGCCAAGTTGTTGTCCTTTAATCTTAGTTGTGGAGGGTGCAGCTACCTCAGCTCTAAGTCCCATTGGCATCTGGCTGCCTGTCGGTAGCTTGCAGCCACTCAGCTCAAGGTGCCGTGTTCAATCATAGTTGCAGGTGGATGTAGCCCACCATCCCATGCAGGAGTTGAACCGGAAACCTTGTTGTTAGGAGCATGTGCTCTCACTAGCTGAGCCATCCTGCCACCTGTTGGCAGCTCAGTGGCAGCTCAGCTGGGTCGCAGCTAACTGGCCCATGTGGGAATCGAACTGCGACTCTGTTGCTCAGAGCTCGCGCTCTTAACCAACTAAGCCACTCGGCTGGCCCAGCAAATAATTGGTGATACACTGAATGCTTTCTCTTTGACATGGAGAACAATATAAGGGATGCCCATTATCACTACTTGTTTTCAGCACCCTACTGGAGGCCCTAGATAGTACAGCATGGGGGTAAGACATAAAGAAGGAAGGGAAGAAGAGAAACAGGGAGGGAGGGAGGGAGGGGAAGAGGAGAAAGGGAGAGAAATAAAATAAAAAGAAAAGCAATAGGATTGAATAAGCCGGGCCCTGCCTCACACAGTGAAATCTGAATTTGTGTGGTTGGCACTCACCATCCTCTTTTGTGCCTTCCAGGTGATCCAGTTTGTAGCCAAGTTTAAGAGATAGTGCCTTGTCCACTTTTGTAAATATTTAAGGAGGTGTTGTGCACCAGCTTTATTTTTCATTTGAAGAAAATGCCATTCGTTTCCAAACAAGGTTTTCCGAAGCAAATTTTTGCTTGTTTGAGTTGGTACCAACTTAAGGAATGCTTCCTGCTATTATCTGTTCCAATATTAACCACTCTTTCAGCAGAAGTGAATACATAATTTATGCCATGTAGTAGATCCTCAGAGCTGGATGATTCTGACTTTTCAATGTAATTCCATATTGGTACTACATAAAAGGGGTTCTTCTTTTTAGCATTACTATTTCTTATTAAAAATTTGGACAGAACAAGAGAACTGTCTTATTCTAAGAAGCCCTTGATATACAATTTATTGTATAGGGCCAAATTATAATTCTTTCCAAGGAATATGTTTGTTAAAACTGTCCCCATTTTAAAGTTGATGCATCAGAGAAAAGGAGTGAGGACCAGTGTACGGGGTGCCGCCCGCTCGGAGGGGACCAGTGTATGGCGTGCCGCCCACTCACAGAGGGCATCTTTTTGGCCAGCACAGTGCCAGGTAAAAACAGTAGGCAGCACAGAAGCATTTTTCCTATTCCTTCTAGATCCAGCGCCCTGTAAAGACCAGCTGTCCTCGAAAGAAAAACCTGACCTCCTAGCCGATTCACAGCTTCTGACCCAAGCAGGCTCCGGGGATGCCCCTGGGGGTGCACCAGCCTCTTTGGTGCCAACCTCCCCTCCCGTGACTGCTGTGCCCCAGGACATGGCTGCACCAGCTGTCAGCCCCAAGCCAGAGCCAGCAATGGGGGCTGCTGTGCAGGCAGGGGGCCCAGGGACCTCTCAGGGTGAAGCCAGCGAGCGTGAGACCCCCCAGCCGCTGGCAGAGACTCATGATGCCCAGCTTGCTGCAAGGCCCCCGGGTGCAGTCCTCGGGCCTTGCGCCTCCCCTCCAGAGGCCCTGCACCACCCCACAGGTCTGGGAGAGCCTGCCTCCAGGGAGGCCAGCGCCCAGTGCACCTTGCCAACTCCAGCCCCTGTGCTTAGTGCCCCCAGCGGGACCCTGCAGCCTGCTCAGGGCCAACCCCTAACTCCACACCCTAATGCGGTGGGGGTCCTGAACCTGGCTACCCCCCAGCTTCCCAGCCCCCCACTGGGGCCCACCATCCCCCCTCAGCCACTCTCAGCCTTGGAGTCAGATGGGGAAGGGCCGCCTCCCAGGGTGGGCTTCGTAGACAGTACCATCAAGAGCCTGGATGAGAAGCTGCGCACGCTGCTGTACCAGGAGCATGTGCCCACCTCCTCGGCCTCAGCTGGGACCCCTGTGGAGGTCGGCGACCGAGACTTCACCCTGGAGCCCCCGAGAGGGGACCAGCCTTACACAGAGGCCTCAGGGGGGGACCCGGCCCTGCTGCCCCAGCCTGAGGTGAGTACTGGCCTCGCCCCAAGGTGCCATCCTGGGGCAGGGGTCTAGATGGGTTGGGGCCAACTGTAGCCTGGTGGGTAAACATTCTAGCCATACAGAGCTCCCTCGTCCAGCCCGACCATCCTGCTCTCAGACCCACCTCTTCACTCCCGCTGCCCAGCATGTTCTGCAACAAGTGGCCCGTTTGGGGATGCATATGCAGGGTCAGGACCCAGCTGGGGTGGCCTTGTGTGTGTGGAGCGCCTGGGACTCGGGTCTGCTCTGAGCAGCCTGGGAGGGAGGAGCCCAGGCTTCGGACGGGTGGAAAGGGTTTGCAGTCTAGCTGCAGAGATGTCAGCTAGTGATGCCCCCGGCTCTTTGGTTTTTCTTCCTCCAGTTGGACAAGTCAGAAATGGTCCCTGGGCCCAGGGCCATGTTGGAGCAGGCCACATCCTCACCAGTGACAGGTAAGGAGCCCCTGGTCACAAGCCCTGCCCCCAGCATGCACGATGCCACCAGCCTTTCTTACTCTGGAGCACTCTACATCTCCACCCTTCACCACGCAGCATCTTGGGTGGGAACCAGACATGGCAGAGCCTGTCATGGTGCTTTTGTGTGTGTTCACACCCAAAGAAGAGAAAGTCCTTTCTGTGGAAATGGATGACAGCCCTACCCCCTCCGCCCCAATGGAAACTCTATTGGCCCATCACCTATCCACTGCAGCACGGCCATCAGCTTTCTTTTGCCGAGTGTGGGTCTCAGCTCAGGCTAGTCAGTCTCCCACATATCAGCTCCTTCTGCTCTGTTGTTCATTCTTCACAGCAGTTCTGGGAAAGCAGGCCAGATATATGCTGTGTCCCCATTCTGTAGATGGGGAAACCGAGACAGCCTCAGACGACATGGACACTGGAACAGTGGGGTTAAGAATTGGTTTTATTGATCTGCTCCTTTTAGGACCTCATGAGACCCTTTTATCACGGAGAGAAGGGTGACGCCATCAGGTATTAGAGATGGCAGGTGAGACAGAGTGACGCCATCAGGTGATAGAGATGGCAAGTGAGACAGGTGACATCAGGTGATAGAGATGACAGGTGAGGCAGATGACACCATCAAGTGTATAGAGGGCTTGGCTGTGCCTGAGGGTCCGGAGCAGGTGCCTGCAGGGACCTGAGTGGTATTGGACTGAGGCCTCTCCCTTCCCCAGGTTCTAGGGCATCTTCTGTGAAGTGAGGGGCCTAGGACAGCTTCTCACTGGGCTCCCTTTCCCTCTTGCCCACTGCCCTCCCACTGTGATTCAGCTGGCCTTGAGCCATTCCTGCCTTTGTGCTTGGCACCAGTCTCAGTAATGATTTTGGTGTTCCTACAGCAGTACCATCTTTCAGCAATACACTGGACTCTGATGGAGGTTGGGTGGCCTCAGGTTCCCCGGCAGCACCCAGCGGCCCCCAGGTAGGTAGTTTTCTGTGGTGAGATGAGGAGACACTTGGCCAATTGGTGGGGTTTGCTCTCTGCTTGTGTTTGCATGGAATCTTCTCCTTTCCTCTGTTTCCCAAGGATTCCCCCGCTTCTGCCATCTCTACACGTCTGGAGCCTACAGACCAGAGTGGCGGGTCCCCTGGGGAAACCTCAGCCGAGCCCATGCAGCACTGCCCAGGGATGTTGACCAAGGGCAGTCAGGCCAGCCACCCCCAGATGCACGGTGCTCTGGCCTCAGGGTCCCCTCCGAAGCAGCCAGGGCAGCAGGATGGCAACTCACCAGCCAAAACTGTGGGCCGGTTCTCAGTAGTCAGCACACAGGACGAGTGGACCCTGGCCTCACCTCACAGCTTGCGGTACTCTGCCCCACCCGACGTGTACCTGGAAGAGGGGCCCCGCAGCCCTGATGTGAAGCTGGCCCTGCGGCGGGCGCAGACAGCGTCCTCCATCGAGGTTGGCCCTGGCGAGCCCGTTTCCAGTGACTCTGGGGACGAGTGCCCTCGTAGGAGGCCCCCTGTGCAGAAGCATGGCTCCCTGCCTGGGAGTGGTAGCAGCGTGGCCAGTGACTTTGTGAAGAAAGCCACCGCCTTCCTACACAGGTCCTCGAGGGCTGGCTCCCCGGGCCCGGAGACACCCAGCAGGACAGGTGTGAAGGTCCCCACTATCAGTGTGACCTCCTTCCACTCCCAGTCATCCTACATTAGCAGTGACAATGACTCAGAGATTGAGGACGCTGACATCAGGAGGGAGCTGCAGAGTCTTCGGGAGAAGTAGGTCCTGTGGGATGGGCAGCTGGTTGGTGTGGGGTCCAGGCCATGGTGTCAGGGTGCAGTGGGCAGCTGAGGTCTAGTTTCCAGCATGTGCACCTGGAGCTTGGGATAGGTGACAGGGTAGAGGCGATGTCACTACTGCCCGTTGGCCTGGTCCCTGGTCTTGGAGCCATGCCTCCGTGCTGCTTGTGCTGTCCCCTCCTATGATCCTCAACAGGACAGGCCTGGTTTTGCTCAGACCCAGGACTTCCTTACATTTATTCCCTCCACCTGCAAGTGTTACATGCCCCCTCTGTGGTCAGGGTCCCTGAAATGCAACTGCACCCTGAAATCTCCTTCCTGCCAGGAGGGGCCACTGTGTATTTACTAAGCGGGGCGGGTGGTGGGGAAGGCTGGTGTTCTGGTGAAGGAGCAGCCGTGGACTGAGAGCTCTTGGAGTGGACCCAGAAACTGCCCATGCATGTGGAGGAGCTGGAGCTAGGCTCCTCTCCCACTGCTCCCTCGTGGTGGGTAGGGCTGAGGGCTCTGCATGCTGGGAGGAGGTAAGAGATCTTGCCTTGCCATGCCAACTGTCCCTGCCTCCTAGCCCCACCCACACTTGCCCTGCTCACTGGCCCCGCCCATTTTCCAGTTCCGTATCCCAGTTGCTGGAGTTCAAGATGAGACTGAGGCACCTGATGCTTATAGTACCCTCCTCTAGTGCCCTCTGACAGCCGAGGGCTGGGTGTGGAGCAGCTAGTAAGGCATCCGGTTCCCCGGATGTGGTGTCCAAGGGGTCACAAGCTAGATTCTTGGGTGCACGGGGTGGGGCTAGTCTGTGTTCTCATGGGTCTGTTACCCTGGAAGTTTGCAGTCAGCAGGAACAAGAGGAGATAAGAGGAGCCTAGACACAGTTGCTCTCCACTGTGAGGGAAGCTGTGGAGGGTCTGCATGTGGGAAACTCAGGGAGAAGCTGCTGTGCCCTCTGAGGGGGTGGGGAGAGAGCGGGGCCAGGTAGAGGAGTGGGGCAGGGGGATGGGAAGCGAGAGAACAATAAGAAACACCTCAAAGGAAAGGATTCCGGGAGCTGGAGAATGGAGGAAATCCAGCATACTAAGTCCTGGCTCTCTGGCCTGATGGGAGGGCCGTGGACACCAGTGCAAAGGGGAGACCATTTAGAAGGGGGCAGGGTTTGGCCCTAAATTGAGGGGACTTGATGGCTGCTTGATAGAAGGTAGTCTTGCTTATGTCAGATCCCCTGGACATCATGTGGGAACACAGGTGTCCCCCCCCAACCCCTCCCCGCCCCAGCCAGTATTTGCAGTTCTTAGAGCCTCCAGGAGTCCCGTGCTTTGAGAGGCCCACTGAAGCCCCTGGGGCTGGGTGGAAGAAAAGGGTGGACTTTGGGGCAGCAGTCCCATAGAATGGGGGCCTCCCCCAAATCTTCCTAAATCAAACACTCCTCAATTGACCCAGCATCCCTTCCCGGCTCCAGCCAGCTTTCACTTTGAAACATCACACCTTGTCACAAGCTAACCTGATGCAACAGCAGTTTGATGTTTAGAGAATCATTTTTCTAAAACCTGTCAGGCATTGAAGACACAAGAAGTAAAATCAGAACTTGCCTCCTCCTGTCCAACCATGAAAAAGACCTGTTTTCCAACTGCACACAGAGGAGATGGGCCTGGAGTGAGGCTGAGGGACAGAGCCTCCTGGCGGGGCGGCAGGGGCCCATGAGACACAGCTGAAGGGACGGTGTGCAGCCCAGTGCCACCTGTCAGCTTGGCCCTGTGCCCTGGGGCTGGTGCCTGAACTGAGAGCACCCCTGGCAGAGATGGGCTGGAGCCAGAGTCCCAGCCCCCTAGCTGACACATGTGTCTCGACCTGCACCTGCCGGCGTCTTCATCTGCAAGGCCTCTCGTGCTGTGTTCCTTCCTGTGGGGGAAATAACACCTGATAAATCAAGGCAGCCTCCCAATTCTGAGCGCTGATTATTTTTCTTCTGTTTTTATGTGCCGGATTTATATTTCAAGCATAAATGTGTAAAGTCACCCATTCCTTCCCCCACAAAACAAAACAAAACAAAACAAAACAAAACAAAACAAAACAAAGCAGTGTTATAAGCCTAGATGTTGGAAAACTTGAGGCCCCTTAGGCTGGCCTGCAGTTTTGTGTCGTTGGGTGTCGATGCTAGGGGCTCCCACTGACAGCCACTTGGTTTAGATATAAACACAAAGTGATATTTAAATAAATGCTTCTGTGTCCCCTCCAAGTGGCCCAGTCTTCCCAGGCTGGACGGTAGGCTGCCCGCCCCACTTCTTAACACTCACCGCAGACTCTCCTAGAGGGGTCCTGTGTGGTGGGAATGACCAGGAAGCCCCTCTGCCTTTTCTTCTCCCCTCCTGCAGGCACCTGAAGGAGATCTCAGAGCTGCAGAGCCAGCAGAAGCAAGAGATCGAGGCCCTGTACCGCCGCCTGGGCAAGCCACTGCCCCCCAATCTAGGGCTCTTCCACACAGCACCCCCTGCCGGCCGCCGGAGAAAGACCAGCAAGAGCAAGCTGAAGGCAGGGAGGTTGCTGAACCCGCTGGTGCAGCAGCTCAAGGTCGTGGCTTCTAGCACAGGTGGGCCCTGTGCCCTCCTGGCCACGCGTGGGCAGGGGCTGGGCAGGGAGCGGGGTAGATGGAAGGTAGGCACCCATACCTGGATGAGCACTCCTTGACTCTCCTTTCATGGGAGCGGGGACACCGCTGTGGGCTGTGGGGGCTCGGGCCTCTGCCCCATGCTGTGGCGAGAGGAAAGGACTGTGAGTGGGCAGGCCTGCTCAGAGCCCTTGGCCACCATGGGCTACAGTGTGCGAGGGAGGAGGAGGAGGCTCAGGTCTCCAGAGCTGAGGGCCGCTGTCCCCCACCTGCTCCCTGCAGGGTGCTGCCTGGGACAGGTCCGCTTCCTCTGGCCCTGATTCTCAGACATATGTCACCTGCTGAAAGTGGGGGTCAAGCACCTGTTTGGGGGGAGGGGAAGGGTGGTGGGGACCCCTGGCCCTTAACCATGATGCTCGGGCACTGAGCGTGCATGCTCACCCCGAGCCCCCTCACTCTGAGGTGGAGAGCCAGGGAGCTGAAATCCTCATTTGCACCAGATGAGAAGCTGGCAGTGAGCTGGTCACAAGCCATCATCCCTCTTGGTGTGGCACGTAACCTGCAGGGCACACGTCCATGAAATGCAAGAATTACACAAATCCCATGCCAGTGCTCAAAGCTAACAGGAGACTAATTAGAGTAAGGAGGAAGTTTACAGGCCGACTTTGAGCCCAGGTGTGCATCTCCAGATGTGCTGTGGTCCTTTGCATTTGTGCAACACAAGCCCGGCACGGTGTTGGGTGACTGGGCATTGTCTTTCATCTTCCCAACACCCACATGGGCAACCCCGCCACACGCCCAGTGCCTACTCAGCTTCTTCAAGGTCACCCAGCAAAGAGCAGGGAGGACAGATGCACCCTGTGCAGGCTGGTCTGCCCTGCGGCACCTTATCGTGCCTGTCCCCCTTCTCCCCACCCAGGTCATTTGTCAGACTGCAGCAGAGCCCCTCCTGCCAAGGACCCCGCCAAAGCCGGGGCGGGGCCCACGGCAGCATCAGACCCCTGTGGGAAGGCAGTTCAGACCCAGCAGCCTTGCTCGGTGCGGGCCTCCCTGTCTGCAGACATCTGCTCCGGCTTAGCCAGTGACGGAGGCGGAGCGCGTGGCCCAGGTGATTCCCAGCTTGCCGTCTCTGAGCATGTGCTAGCTACGTAGGGCCCGTGTGGTGTAGAGGGGTGTGAGCTGTGGCCAGACCCCTGAAGGAAGTAATCGTAGATATAGCCTGAATGAAAAGAGTGGATGACCCCCTGTCAGCGAGTCCTGCTGTAAGCGGCTGGGAGAGGCGTGCCTGGCTAGAGCAACCTAGTGAAGGCACCAGGACCACTGAGTGGTCACACGTGGTTTCTGCTGTGTTGCTGTGCGCCGGCCCCCGGCGCCGCCCCGCCCCCCCACTAAATACAGGTCCTTCTGTCAGGAGGGCTGTTGGGGGTCGAGGGCACAGCTCTTGAGCTGGGAATTTGGCCTTGAGGAGGAATTGCCGTGGACGCAGCAGCTGTGATGAGGTGCTTCCCACGCCATCTCTGTCCAGAGATGTGGTGGTGACAGCTGCCGTGTCTGGTCCCTAGCCCGCCCCGCCCCCTCTCCTGGGGTCCGCTTCTTTTCCGCTCCAGTGCTTCCTCCTTTTCATTATGTGGTCAGTGGCTGTGGTCCTCTGGGCTGGGCTAGGTGCAGCCGTGGATGCTAAGTGACGAGGCTGATGTGGCTGGTGGTGTAGGAGGAAGCCCAGAGACTGTACTTGATTCCTGTCTCTTTGTTTTCTTCCCTCTATATTCATTTGCAGGCTGGACGGTTTACCACCCAACGTCTGAGAGAGTGACCTATAAGTCTAGTAGCAAACCTCGCACTCGATTCCTCAGTGGACCCGTGTCTGTGTCCATCTGTCTGTATTTGTTCTTTTGTATTTTACCACCTCCTGGCCCTTGGTTTCTCCCCCACCCCTCCCTGTCTTCATTACCTTTCATACATTTTGTAGGGTGCCAGTCCTACCCCACTGAGCTCACCTAATTCAGTATTGAAAGTGGAGCCCTGTGCACACCCACCCTCTGGGCCCAGAGAGCAGCAGTGCATGCTCTCGGCTCCTGTCTGGGCACCAACAGCATGTGCAGTGCCTGCCCATCCCGATCTCAGTGCCCCGCCCCAGGCCCCCTGCCAGGCACTCTGCATTTCTCTCGTCACTTGTTTTGTTTCTATTTGTTACATTGGACGTAGTTTTATTTCTGTTGCGACTGTGGCAGATGTACACGTCCACTGTCCCCAGGTCCAGTGACAACAAAAAACCAGTCCTGACCTCCTCTAGACGCATGGTGTGTTTCCCACGTGTCTGGACTTTGAAGACATGCATATAGTGAGCCGAGACAGTGCTAGAAGGTCACTGGAGGGTGTGACTTCTGTCCACGGGCCGTGTCACAACACCCAGTACTGTCCATCCACTGCCCGCTCCCTGCATGTGGAAACGCTGAGAACGAGCTCCAGCTAGGACGCCCCAGCCCCTCTCTCCACTCTGCTCTGGGAGGAGTGACTCCCAGCCTCCCTTCGGGTTCCCTCTCTGGGCCTGGCCCCTCCTGGCTGTCTCTCTAGCTCCTGCACTTGAATTGGTGCATCTCCCTCTTATGGACCCCAGAGATTAAGTCAATTACGCAGTTCCTCAAAGCCCTGCGAAACCAAAACTCAGCTCTAGTTATCCTCAGAGTCCCTGGAATGCCCTCCTAGAACCCAGGACTCATGCCCAGGAACGGCATATCTGCTCAGGGCCATCCAAAATTGTTTTCATCAGTCATATCAATTGGCAAATGAATCAGAAGCTGTGGGGTTTTCAGGTTTTTTGTTTTTTAACAGAAAAATTAAGCTTTTTACCAGTTGGTTTGGACATGCTGGTTTGGGGCACATGGTTTTTTGCTCGTACAATAAAGATACATTGTGCTTGTTGGGACCTGAGGCCACTTCCACAGTAGGTACCCATCCCCATCCAAGGGGCCACGGCATCCTCCCCTGGCAGGCAGGGCAGGTCAGAGCCCAAGACCAGAGAGAAATGCCCAGGCACTGCCCTGCGCTCCTCAGTCATTGCCAGGTGGCTGGCTTGGCTCGGGGTGTCACTGGGCTGTTGGTTAGTCGATGAGCTAGGTGGTGGGGTGGGTGTGGCTGTTCCTCTCCTGCCTGTGTGTGCGCAGCTATCGTCTGGGAAGCCGTAGTGGGAGGGCACCTGGGTCTTCAGGCATCTTATGCTTACACAGGCGACTATGTCCCTACAGGTGGGCCCCTGGCCAGACATGGGAAGCACGTTGGAGCAGGTGGTGGTTTCCCGGGGTACTTGGTACAGCCTGTGCCTGCGCACACACCAGGCCTGCCCCTCAGGTCTTCCTGTCTACTTTTGCACCTGCCTGGTTTTGCTTTCTCTAGGGGGTTTTCCTTTGCCTTACTATTACTTATTGTTCCCAGATAAAAGAACAGTGTGAGGCACAGCAGGGACAAAGAGTTCAGGCTTTGCTTTTGTCCCTGGCTAGGAGGACAGGATGTGTGAGGCACAGAGTGGAGGGAAGGGGCCTGGGCTGGCCGGTTGGTGTGGTGATGGCACCTGCGGGTCTGCTGGGCTTTGTTTCCTCCATGCTGTGATATGCTGCTGCTGTTCTCTGCCCGTTGTCTTCAGGCACATCTTGGCTGAGCTCCTAGTCTTTTCAGGATGCAGGGTCGCCCCACTGGCTCTGAGGTTGCCAGTGAGGAGACTGCTTGGCCTTGGCCCCCTTGTTCACAGCCACAGGGACCACTGCTGCTCTAATGGGGCGGGCTGAGTCAGAATAAACACACCCTCTTTCTGGTTCTGACAGCCATCCTGCTGGCCCCCAGGGCTCCTCCTGGAGCCACTGACTGCTGGTTCCTGGGTGACCAGGGAGTGTGTAGCTGTGAAAGACTGGAGGGGAGTTCAGAGCTGGTTAGAGAGGGCTGAGAACTTGGCCACAAAAGGAGGAGCGAGCTGGAACTTGGGTTCTGAGAGCCACAGCTATGGGGTGCAGGGCAGCTGGCCAACGCAAGCTGAAGTAGGGCCAAGAGAGGTTTTCAGTTCCCTGTCCTGAAAGGAACAGGAAACAAGGTTCTGGGAAAACAAAATCTGAAGGACAGGAAATCCCAGCTTCTCTGAAACTCAGAGAAGATGAGGGAGGTCAGGATGGGTGGTGGCACCTGGGGTGGAACTGTAGGCAGCTCCAGGGGGCAGGGAGGTGACCCCATGTGGGACAGGCAGCCAGGCCCACAACATGGCGCATGGGGAGGTCACAGACTCCTCAGGGTGGGCAGGCCCTCAGGAGGGCAGGAAGGAAGAGGCAGAGCAGAGCTGGGCGCAGCCCCTACAGGACCCCTCCTGTGCCAGTGAATGGTTTGGGCAGCTTCAGCTGGGTTGTAGAAACAATGGTGTCTACTGTTCTGTTGGTCAGAAGTTGTTCTCAGACCCGTTGACCCTCCTCACCCCTGGCTTTTCCTCGTCTGACTAGGGGCAGTGGCCAGTATCCTCCAGGACCTTTCTGTGCACATGGAACCTTGTGTTTTTCTCATGTCTTCGGCAGCGGGCCTGGCGTCCATACTGCAGCAAGTTTGTCTCTGGGACCCCTGCTGTCACTCTGTAGCACCCGCCCCTCAGGCTCTGCCATCACCATAGTGGGTTGTGGGAGAGGGCCCTGGGGCAGGGAGGACACCCTCCCACGCAGCCCTCCACCATGCCTGAGTCCACCCAGGCGAAATTGGTGAGTGGCTTGCACAGCAGGTTGTCCAAGGGACTGGCCCCTGTACTTCGGAGACCTTGCAACCCAGGCAGTGATGTTCAGGTCGAAGTCACCCCAGGGCAGAGCCAGGACGCATCTGCATCCCAGACAAGTTTTGGCACTATTCTCAGCTTGAGAACTTGGTGGCTCAATACATAGACCCCTGGAATGGTGCTCTGGTGCTATCCACCTATTTTCTGTGCCAGGTCGAGCACCTAATGCCACAGCCGGTATAAGGCCGACCATCGGAGATATGCCTTTCGTCATGGGTGGGGCGGGTGGGGAGCCCCGGGTGGTCTGCCCTGAGGCTGCGGCCCCACAGTTCCTCATGACCTTTGTCAGTATTTGAACACTGTGATAAATGGCAAATGTGGGGATGGCTGTAGGTCCTCACCCATTTTTTAAGCAGTCTGTCCTCATCAGATGCCCTTGAATTTGAGGCATCCAAAGGCCTGGGGTGGCGGGAGCCGAGCAGGCTGGCTGTCCCCGCCAGGAGCAGCCCCTGTTCTTATGCCAGAGGGAATGTGGGGGCCTCGCCTCACTGCAGGCCTGGGTGCTGCCTGAGACCCTGGTCTGGCCTCGGGGGCAGGAGGCTGGCTGCTCTGTGGGGTGCTGCTGTAGGCATTCTGCACAAGGACAAGATGCTAGGTCGTCCTGTGTGCTACCCTTTCAGTTCCCAACACTGGGGGCCATCGAGTCCTCCACCCCAGCACCTGTCCCACGTGGACGCTTCCCCAAGTAGTTCTGGAGCCTCGGACTTCCCAGAGCTTTGGCCAAGGACAGAGTCCTACAGGAGAAACTACTTTCCATGGGAAACCAGGGTCTGGGCTGGTTCGAACCATCCTGCCCCATGTGGGTCCCGTGTGGGTCCCTTGTAGGCCCTGTGTGGGCCCTGGCAGGCATCTTTGCGTTGCTGCCTTACTGTAGCTTGGTAGCTTTGTGGGCAGGAACCAGGTATCGTATACAGCAGCATGGAGTGGGATGAGCGGGATGGGGCGGGCCTTGTCCATCAGATACCATCTGTGTGGTGGGCAGTGGGGCAGGCACCAGGCCAGGTCACAAACACTGTGGAAAAGTTGAAAGGGCAGGGCTGTGGCTTGAGTGAGGGCTGGTCATCAGCCACATGACAGCTGCTGAGCTGTGGCTCTGTACTCAGCTGGACAACATGATCTCAGTGTGGAGGGCCCCAAATCCAGCTGATTTGTGTTGAAAGGCCAGCCTAGAGGGCCAGGAGCCATCTGCTCCGGTCGGCTCGGGTCTGTGTCAGGCAAAGGTGTGTGGGCCATGTGGCTCTCTAGCTCCTAGCACCGTGTCCTGATGGCTGATGGCCCCAACCCTAGCTTCCCAGCAAAGTCTGTCTGGGGCCTGATCGCAGGCCCAGGCCCCTTCTGGCAGCTCTCAGCAGGCAGCTGGCCGTGGGTGGTCCTCTCGTGGGTGTTTTCCTTCCCATGAGGATGACGGGAATCAGCCCTGAGCCCAGGCCTCACCCGGCAGGACCAGAGCAGCCTTTTGAAAGAACACGCCACCTTAGGCTGCAGGACCTGGCAGGGTGTTTAGTCCATGTTCTCTGTCATCTATAGGAGACTGCTGTGGTTTAGAAGAGGCTCCAGCCACACGAATCTAGCAGGGAATGTGCACTTGCCTGGCACCCTGCAAAGTCACTGAGCCTGAGGCCCTCCTCCCTACACCAGGCGGTCCCCAAAGAGTCCTGTGCTCCTAGTAGGGCCCCATCTGGAACGCGACCAGTCAAAGCCCTTCAGCGCCAACACCAAGTCAATGGGTCTGGACTGCCTGCCGCTCGGCCCTTTCATTTTTATTTACACATTAGAGATCCCAGCAGAATATCACCTCCCTCTCCCCAAGTCCATCTCAGAACACACAGGATGAACTAAAATTCTGAGTCCAGTGCATACAGCTCTTCTGCAAGGAGCCTGGGTCGACCTTTGCCCCTGTCCTCAAACACAGAGGGTAGCTGCTTGTCTTCCATGGTGGGCTGTGACACCCTCCCGGGAGCAGCGTGGCTGTGCAAGGGTCCTGGCGGAAGCAGACAGACGCTCCGTGATAGCGCAGTCTTGCTCGGTGACCTTGGGGGCTCCTGTGCCATGCTTGCCTGTCCTACCTCTGCCTACCCCGCTCCCTGGGAGGCAGGATAAACCGGCTGTTGGGGTCCCTCCTGGCTGACACATCTGCCCTCCAGTTGGGCACTGACTGATAGGTCACACCAGACAGACACTACAGTCAGCGTGTCGCCTGTCGGTCAGCACGGATAGTCTAGGGATTGCAGGATCCGGCAGCCCTTGGTGGAGGTCCAGTGACCAGGAGGCCTTGCCGTGCCCTGGTGGACAGGGAGTACCGGATGAGACTGAGTGTAGCAGGGAATCAGGTCAGCTCAGCCTCCTACCTCCCTAGCCAGGACCCCTTGTATTTCCTCCTTGACACCCACCACTGTCCTGGTCAGGGCAGCTGTCCGAGATCCAGGATTGGCCTCAAACCTGCAAAACAATGTATCTTTTTGCACTTGGAAACCCTCTCATGGGCCTCTTGGCCAGGCAGAGTCAGGCCCTGCTCTAGTAAGCACACTCCTGGCTGACTTCAGTGGGGTTTCCTGCCTCAACCAGTGAGGCTCCCTGAAGCCATTTTAAAGCCAAGCTGTATGCTTTACCTTTTTTTTGTTTGGTTTTGTTTTCTTTCTTTTTTTAAAATTTTTTATTATTATTATTAATTTTTTTTATGACTATGCTTCTAGAGACACACATACTTCTATCTGAAGCTTGGGGCTTGGTCCTGCACCTCCACCCCTCGGCGAAACTCGTGTGAATTGCACATTGACTCGGGGATGCAGTGAGCCCTGGTGGCTGGTCCCTTCTCTGAACTGCTGGCCTGTGCTCCTCCTCGCACACTAATGACTTTTGCTTAAAGTGTGGTGGCTTGTCCCCGTGTGTGCTGTCCTGCCTAATCCTGTGGTCTTGTGTCGTTTCTTTTTCCCTTGCAGGGTCTGCCTTGAAGCGTCTCTGTCTAGGCAAAGAGCACAGCAGTCGTAATTATCGGGTTTCTTTACCCCTTGTCCGCTCTCCATTGCATGGGCTTTATTGTGGCTAGTGCACATCAAGGCTTCTGCGGCCAGGCCTGGAGCCGCGGGCCAGCGGGCAGGCAGCTGTGGGCCTGCTCTGTGCCCACCCTCCATGGTCACCGCCTGGTCTCCACCTGGTGGGACAGCCCCCTGCAGGTGCCCCTTTGTGTCCCCTAGACTTTGTGCATTCTCACCAGTTCATATCTAAACAGGCTCTGCTTGTCCGGAATGATACACATTACCAATCGTTAATTGGCTCCTTTTCCAAAACCATAGGGATGAGTGTTTCCTTCAAGTGCTAAAGATGAGTGCGCCCCTACCCCTTTCACCCCCACCCCCACCCCCGAGGAGAGATGCCGGGACAAAATGGGTATCAGTCCACCTGGGCCGCCCACTGCTCTCATCTCGTGCCTTTTTTTGTTTTTTTCCTTTTTTCTTTTCTGGCTGAAATGTTCATGTAGCTATACCTCTGTATGTGTAGAATCTCATCACTAACGTTTAACGGTTTGTGTCTGTGCTTTGTCGTTGCTAGCCACTAAAGTAGACTACATTTTGCAATGGCTTGTTTGAAGAGATGGTCATTAGGTTATTGCTTTTTTAATGCAGAACATTTAAAAATTGGCTTATTCAAAATTGCCAACCAGGAATTATGTGTTGGAGGGAGGGGGGGGACACAGTTTTTTAAAAAGTCAAACATCCTATTTTGGTCATTGAAAACAACTCTTTCAGTGAAGTGGCGAGTGCACTCGTCCTGGTCCCTCTCTGAGTCTCAGCCGTAGGCCTCCCCGGCATCTGGCCCTCCCAGCTCTGCCTGGGTGCAGTTCCTGTGTCTTAAGTTCCAAATCTCCAGGGCCTTTAAATTCATAGGAACGCCAGTGTCCTAACCTATTGCCATCATTTTCCCTCCACTGGAAGAACAGCGGGAGCTGCTGTGTGCTGAGCTCAAAGCATTGACCCCTCTGATCCTCGTGTTAGAGCTAAGAGTGCAGGGGCCTGAAGAGTTTAGCCCAGTCTGTGCCAGCCTTCCTGAGCGCTCTCACTGGGGCCTAGTGGGCCCGAGCGGTATGGGCACAGGGTGGATGCTGAGTGATGCCGCTGGGTCCTGTTCCCGTGCCTGGCTATGAGGCCCAGTTCCCTGTGGCTTGTGCAAGTACTCCACTGTGTCTAAAGCTGGCACATGGTCCCCTCAGTGCAGACCATCTCCTGAAGCAAGGTGTTGCCTGGCCTAAGCGAGACCATTGTGCAAATGATTGCAAGTTGGCCATGGTGCTGGCGGGCGGTGTCACCAATGCTGGCCTGTATGTGCCTCCCCAGGGTCCTCCACCAGCAGCCTGGTCCCAGGCCCCGAGCCAGGTCCCCCACCCGCCCTGCACGTCCAGGCTCAGGTGAACAACAGCAACAACAAGAAAGGCACTTTCACTGATGACCTTCACAAGCTGGTGGACGACTGGACCAGCAAGACAGTGGGGGCTGCTCAGCTAAAGCCATCGCTCAACCAGCTGAAGCAGACGCAGAAGCTGCATGACATGGAGGCCATGGCAGGCTGGCCCCCAGGCCCTGGCGAGGTGCAGGCCGTAAGTGGGGCATGGCGGGGTCAGGGACAGGGAGGGAGCGAGGCTGCAACCCCAGATCTCAGCAGAGCAGCAGCACCCACGGCCACCCCTTGTTGGGCTTTAGCTCAGGTGTGCCAAGACCACGTAGAGCGGAAGCCAGGGGCTGCTGCCTTAGGTTTTGTCGTGTGATGCGTTTCTGTGTCAGGACTGCCAACTTCAAACCTACGTGAAGGAGTATTTTCTCTTTTTCAGTCTTCTGGAGGAATTTTTACAAGACCGTTATTTCTTCCTGAAATGTTTATCAAAGTTCACTGGTGAGACCATCTTGCCTGGGAGGTTTGTTTTTGTTTTTTTTGAGTGTGAGAAGGTTCCCCTATGACCTTTTATTTTGAAAAATTCCAAACATACAGAGGAGTTGAAAATTCTGCAGTGAACCCACTATCTGATACCCACTACCTGTACATTGTGGTTGACATTTTGCCGTTTTTCTCACCCATCTGTCCATCCCTTGAGGGTAAGGTTTTCTTTATGGATTCAATTTCTTTTATAGTTTTAGTACCATGTTGCGCTCCTCTTTCTGTGCAGTTCTCCTTTTCTAGCAATTGGTACATCTCTAAATTTATCTAAGTTTTCAAGTTCATAATATCTTTTTTCACAGTTTGCAGGATTTGCAGTGATGTCTAATTTTTCATTCCTGATGTTGGTGTTTTCTGCATGTGTGGGCTCTCTTCTTACGTAGTCTCTTTAGGAGTTTATAAAATTTATTAGCTTCTTCAAGGAACTCATTTTGGTTTTGATGATATTCTTTATTGTATATTTCATTAATTTCTTTTATTATTTCTTTCCTCCTACCTTTGGGTTACTTTTTTTTTTAAGATTTTTATTGGGGAATTGGGGGATGGGAACAGCGCTGGGGAATTGGGGGAAGGGGAACAGACAAGTTGCTGTCCTTTTGTTCTTCAGTCTAGTTGTGGAGGACGTTGCTTCACTGGCCTAAGTTGGCACCACCGTTGCTCTGTTCCCGGGAGAGGCAGATCAGTCGCCGGCTTCTGGACGGCTGCTCATGGCGGCTGTTTGGCCACTCACGCTGGCTGCTGGCTACACATGGTAGCCCATGGCAACCCACTGCAGCAGTGACTGCAGCTTACACCATCGCCGGCGACTCACGGCAGCCCAGCTCCAGGTTGAGCTGTTGTTCAGCATCTTAGCTGTATAGAGCAGTGTCACCGGCCCTCATATGTGGGATCTGAACCGGGGCCCTCTGGCGTCCCAAGCCAGCTCTTAACCAATACGCCACTTGGCCGGCCCAAAGGGTTACTTTTTTGTTCTAGAAAGTTTCCTGAGATGTGCATTTTATTGATTTCCAGCCTTTCTTCTTTCATACTGCAGGCTTCAGGCTATAAAATTCCCTCTAGTGGTTCTACCTGCTTCCCAAATGTATTGTTACATGGTATTTTCTTTGACCTTCAGTTCAAAATGTTTTGCAATTTCCACTATGATTCTAAGTAATGTAGTTATTAATTTCCTCGTGATCTTTTTATTACTTTTATTAGCCTAATTGCACTGTGACAAGAGAACAAATTTTGAGTGTTTTCAGCTTGTTAAAATTTGCCGGGACTGGCTTTTTGATCAAACTTGTCAATCTTGGTTCACTGCTCCATGGCTGTCTGAAGTCAGCCTCTTTATTCCCTCTCACACCCACATTCCCAGTCTGAACCTACCCTATTTCTCTTTGGAATGACTGCAGCCCCTCCTGACAGCTACCCCTTCATCAGTCTAACTCAGGTCCATTCTCCTTTATTCTGCAACAAAGTTGAGAATCCTCCACATGGCCCCAAGGCCCTGTGGAATCAGTGCCTGAACCCTGGGCAGGCTTGGGTCAGCTCTGCTGCCTGGACCCCCCACACCGGCTCTCAGCCTGTGCTGGGCCATGCTCCATCTGTCAGTCCTGCTGATCCTGTTGTTCAGATGGCTGGGATTCTTACTAAAGTTTTTGTTTGTTTGTTTGTTTGTTTGTTTTGTGGTAAATCTATAGAACATAAGATTTACCATTTTAATCATTTTAAGTGTATAATTCAATAGCATTAAGTATTGGGTTGTTGGAAAAGTCATGACGTATTTTGTCTATGTTTTTCAAAGGTCATTTATTTATAAAAAGAACAAATATCAATCAGTGATATATTGCCCATTTTGTTTGATAACCTTTTGCCATCTTTCAGTGAGCTTTATAATTCCTTGTTCATAGAAGGACCTGTCTTTATTTGTGAAAAACTGAACAAGGTGCTGATTTACAGCCTCATGTCAATTGAACGTTATGCCACGCAAGGAGTTTTGAAGAGAGTGAAACAAGTGGAAGTCTGACAGTGCAAGGTCAGGCGAGTATGGTGGACGTGGCAACACATCCCATCCAAGCTCCAATAATTTTTGACAGGTGATCAAACCTGTGTGTGGTCTCGCGTTGGCGATGAAACACAACTCTTTTACAATTAACAAGCTCTAGACATTTCTGGATGATGGATTCGTTCAAACTGTCTAATTGCCGACAGTACACATTTGAATTGATTGTTTGGTTCCTTGGTAGGAGCTCGAAAAACACGACACCTTTAAAATCTCACCACACTGAGAGCATAACCTTTCTCTGATGAATGTCTGCTTCTGATGTTGTTTGAGGCAAATCATCACATGGGGACCAAGACCGTTAGCACATCACATTGTTGTAAACAATCCACTTCTCATCACCAGTTATCAGTCGCTTCAAAGAAGGATTGTTTTCCTCACGTTTAATGACCATATTGCAGATGTTTATACGCGCCATCAAATGAACTTCTTTGAGTTCATGCGGAACCCAAATATCGAGTTTGTGTACATATCCCAGCTTCTTCAGGTGGTTGTGAAAGCTTGAATGATGGATGTTCAATGTTTCTGCAATCACTTGTGTCGTGTAACATGGGTTTGACTCGATCAATGCCTTTATTTTGTTGTCATCAACCTCGGTGGGCCTCCCTGACCGAGGAACGTCATTGAGATCAAAATCACCAGCGTGGAATTTCGTGAACCGTCATTGGCACTGAAGTTCTTGTAGAGCATTGTCACTGTAAACTTGATGCAACTTTTCACAAGCTTGACGCGCGTTCTTCCCTTTATGGAAGTAAAACAGGAAAATATGGCAAAAATGCAGTTTGGTCTTCCATCTTCAACTTGTTGTAAAATCTCCAAAGCTCAGCCAAATTGCTCAATTTTTTTTTAGAATGAAGCTAGAACTGTCAGCTGACAAATGACATACCAATAACAAAGATGCGAATGACTCTAGTACTTCCAAAAATGAACTAGTGCCATCTGTTGCAAACATGTGTCATGACTTTTCCAACAACCCACTATATTCACAGTGCTGTGCATCCATCACCACTTATCCATATATAGAACTTTTTCATCATCCCAATTAGAAACTACTCATCAAGGAATGACTGTCCAGTTCCCTCCCTCTTGCAACTCTGGCTGTCCAGTTCGTTAACTTGTATTCCACTTTCTGTCTGTAGGAGTTTGACTATCTAGGTACCTCATATAAGTGGAATCATATAGTATTTGTTCTTTCCTATCTGGCTTATTTCACTTAACATAATGTTTTCAAGGTACATCTGTGTTGTAGCATGTTTTAAAAGTTCATTCTTTTTTTCCCATTTTTTTTATTGTGCTAAAGTAACACATAACATAAAATTTGCCATCTTAACCATTTTTAAATGCCAGTTCTGTAGCATTAAGTACATTAATATTGTGTTCAATCATCACCACCATCCAGCTCCAGAATTTTTTTATCTTGCATAACTAAAACTCTGTACACTCATTGAAAGGTAACTCCCTACGCACCCCACCCCACCCTATGCCCCAGCCCCTGGCAACCGCTATTGGACTTACTGTCTCTGAATTTGACTACTCTAGGTCCTCATATAAGTGGAGTCATACAACATTTGTTTTTCTATAACTGGCTGACTTCATCTAGCATAATGTCCTCAAGGTTCTATGTGTCAGTTTCCTTCCTTTTAAAAGCTGAATAATATTCCTTGTGTGTGTGCCATATTTTGTTTATCCATTCATTCATCCATGGACACTTGGGTTTAGCTATTGTGAATAATGTTGCTATGAACGTGGGTGTACCGATATCTTTTTGAAACCCTGATTTCAATTCTCTTGGGTATATACCCAGCAGTGGAATCGCTGGATCATGTGGTCATTCTATTTTATTTATTTATTTTTTTAAGATTTTATTGGTGAATTGGGGGAGGGGAACAGCATTGGGGAATCGGGGAAGGGGAACAGACAAGTTGCTAGCCTTTTGTTCTTCAGTCTAGTTGTGGAGGACATCGCTTCACTGGCCCATGTTGGTATTATCATTGCATTCTTCCCGGGTGAGGCAGATCGGTTGCCGGCCACTGGACGGCCACTCATGGCAGCTCTGGGCAGCTCACACCAGCTGCCGGCCGCTCACGCTGGCTGCCAGCTACACACGGTACACACGGTAGCTTATGGCAGCCCACTGCAGCAGGGGCTGCAGCCTATGCCGTGGTCGGCGACTCACAGCAGCCCAGCTCCGGTCGAGCTGTTGTTCACCATCTTAGCTGTAGAAGACACACCATCACTCACCCTCATGTGGGATCCAAACCAGGGCCTTGCTGCTCAGAGCTGGTGTCCCAAGCCAGCTCTTAACCAACGCACCACTCAACTGGCCCGTGGTCATTCTATTTTTAATTTTTTGAGGAATTGCCAAACTGTTTTCCACAGGGCTACACCATTTTATATTCCCATCAACAGTACACAAAGGTTTCAGTTTCTCCTCATTTTTGCCAATACTTTTTGTTGTCTATTTTTTTTTTAATAGTAGCCATCCTAATGGGTGTGAATGTGTATCTCGTTGTAGCTTTGATTTGCATTCATATAATGATTAGTGATGTTGACATATTTTCATTTGTACATCTTCTTTGGAAAAATAACAATTCAAGTCCTTTGCCCACTTTTGAATGGCATTG